GTCAAAAGTTTACAAGCAATGCATATAATCTACTGTATAAACGATATGATTTTTGTCGCAAAAAAAGGTCTACATTACGTTACCTTGAATCATGGACCCAGCATTGCTCTTAACTGTTATCGTCTGTATGCGATATCTATACACTCTATCGAGTTTCTGATATCGTTATTTTGGGCGAAGATGTCTCTTACTTAAATACAATCATGTCGCGCTTGTTGGTCACGGCTTTGACCGGCGGCTTACCAGACGTAGCTCAATAATGGCCAGCACTCCCCAGCCTACAGCCGTCAGACTGTGCCGTCGCGTTGACGTTTAGTATCCCACTCGTAAGTGACTGTTTGTTGCCCTTAACAATGACTTGTCCGACGGCGTGATGGTGACTGACCACTGGGCACGTGATTGCCCGACACCTCCGGGATCCTTTCCACAGACTAATGGCAATCGTAAGGGTTTTAGGCTAGGAGTAGACTGGCCCCCATCCATAGAATATTATATAGAAATTTCCTTTAGAACAATAAATTAACTTTAATAATGTTGATCACCTGGGTGTTCCTAAGTTTTCAACTAGGGTAGATAAGCTACATGTAGTAGTAAAATGCAGTTGAGCAATTATTCTTAAAAAACTTCGCGGTTTATGGCCAGTCTCGGCTGGGATTGGGAGTGGGGGTTAGATGGGATAGAATGAAGAAATATTATAGAAAACAAAGTTGCAGTAATATTTGGAGGCTATTTTACTCATAGTCAGCGATATGGTTATAATGTTATCGAACACGTGCGCTGGGTATTTGCAATTGCGACCGTTGAGAATGACTTTAAAATTCACAGATCACGAATCTAATGTGTATCGCAAAGTAATTCAAAATTGGGGCAAAATCAAACAAGTCTAAATTTAAAAACAAATCAAAAATCGAAATTCTCATAAATCATTGCCACTGTCTTCTTCTAAGCCAGTAAGTTGAAGTGATCTCCCCTGATATTCCACTGATCCCCGGTTAGCAGTTGCGCTCTGCTGAAGTGCCGGGCGATAACGTCTTAATCATCATCATCATAAACTAGGCCCGTTAAAATGGAGCTCACAAACATGTAACCAGATGAGCGAATATGTCACGGCATCCCTCAGATTTAACAACAACCTGCGACAGATAAGAAGTCCGCCAAAGCGTTTTACTAAATCACATTCCTATCATAACAATTAAGGTTTTGTAGCCCGATTTGTGTGCACACAAACTTCACTGATTTATGACACGGAGGGGACTATTCAAATGCGAATTCATATGAAGGGGAGCGCCATTAACAATATATGGCATATATATTTTACGGGGAATGGAAACAGGACCTTAAGGTCATGATAACCTAAACGTTTCTCAAGGTCACTTGCTCGTGCATATTTTGGTTATACACGCAGAAAAAATATATACGCCATGGGCAGTATCGACGTTTCCACATCCTTAGAGACACACCATGGCATGCATTTTCATTAGAATGTACCGACCCCGAAGGTCCAATTACTGTTGATTTAGTTCCTCGGGGATTTAATAAAGAGAGTTGTATATGCATGAGTTGGTTAAAATATAAACCATCATTTAAATGATGTGAAAAGCAATAGGAACTTTTTTTTTCTCTTTGTTATTGAGTTGAAAGAAACATTTTTTTACGCGAAAGTCAAGATGGCTAAGCTGTTGATGATTTATCTGATGTTTCTTTCTGAGTTTGTTTATGTTTTGCCTGGTATAGCTCAATCATAGGATAATCACAATCCTCATCTAAACAAAATTGAAAAGTCATCTCCTCAGGGTTATTTAAGTAGAAACATCGACCTCTATAAATATCAGAGCGTAGCTTAATGCCTATTACACGAGGTATACTTGATGACCTAAGATTTCACACCTCTCGTTAGATTGTTTTCACTGGTATCAAGGCCCCGATACCGAAGACACCACATCTGTGCTCCGTCTTTTAGAAGCCGGCATTCGGTTCCGTTTATTACTTTTACATTTTTACGTAAGATAAAAACATTAACATGATGTTTTAAACAGCTGCTCAGACTACTATCAATATTGGCAGTCATGAATCTAACAGCCGTATAAAAGCATGTGTGTTACGTTTGTGTGCAGCTGATTCAAGGTGCCGTAATGTACAGACGGTGCTAGACAATCTCCTTTGTCTAAAATACCAAGGGACACGCACGGACCACACATACATATGTAGGTAATGTCTCTACCTACAATACAGCAGTTATAAGCTGATTCGGTATTACACTGCCTATTTTATTTTAATTTCTGCACAAAATACATGTAACAAATATAAATATTTTGTTCTTTTTTATCTTTGCTAATGGTTGTTCAAAGATGATTAGTAGATCACGTGAAATTGTCATAAGTGTTTTTCAACTTTAAAACAATGATGTGAATCCCCACCATATCGATGATCTTCCTATCGACGGTTTAGATCCTGAAAAAACAACGTACAATCCGCAAAATATAGCTCAATAGTCAAGTCAGATTCTCCATTTCCAACAAAATTATAAGTTGTTTATTACATTTACATGTATATGTGTATTATACTATCATATTACAGTACTTTCTGATTTATAAGCAAAATTGTACACGACCAAAATGTTAACCCTGGTTCCTGTGTTGTTTCAGTAACCTGTTTGACGTATGTTTTTATTCCCTGTAACGGCAGCTCTTGAGAATTTTATCGAAAGGGATATAATTCTGCAGGATTAAAAGCAAATGTACAGCCCTTGATCATTATTACTATACAAGTAGTATATATTGTATACGCGAGACAGACGTCACCGACATGAGCTAACTACAATGTGTAACTTCTTACTAGGACCTAGGCCTCGTGGAGGTGTCTTGATATAAAATCTAGATCAGATACAATGATTTTATTTATGTACCATATATCTAAAGTGAAAATATAATTTTACCATATCGACATTCCGGTCTCGTCATTATACCACGGCAGTAATTAAGCAGATGTTGTGCTTCCTTTACTGATATTTATACGATAGTTTAGTTCTTTAAAGAGTCGTTAACTCGACATACATTTAATTGAATGTTTAATATCTCATATTTTTGTATTTATTGTAAATCACAGTGAAAGTATCCAGTTTTTCAAATTACATGTACATGAAAAAATATAAAAATGGAAACAAATTATTAGATTTTTATTGAGATGATCGATAAATAAAATATATATTTCGAATGTTCCGAACAAATAAGTCATGGACGTATGTCAAAACAGAAGAAATCGAGCTCAAACCTGACCTTGTCAACGTGATGAAGTATAAATATTAAGGAGGTTGGTGAGGACCCGTCGGACCAGCCATCGTTGTTCCGATCTATGATGTTCCGCCTTAGTTATGACCGTTATGTCTTTTAAACACCACCATCCTTTGGAGTAATGAGCAATATCCTAACGCAGCGGCTGTCACACAAACGGAAACCATCCTTAATCGCGACAAAGTGACATTTTTGGAAAAAATCTACTAAAATAACTATCACGTGAAATGACAGCTATTTGGTAAAAAAAATCTTAAAAGGTTTAACATTAAACAGAGGTTTGTTGGCGGTTGTCTTATCGGTGACATGGCGGACGTACACGGTCTATCCGTAATATCACCCACAACGCCCCTTACTGAAGACAGCTCGCTCGTGACCAAATCACTCCTTGTTCAATTTGTACTTGCAAGATCATCAAACTCATCGTTTCATTTCTACTAGCATCATATAGAGTCTACTTAATAGTTTTACGAAGACATTAGGTTACACCTACTTCACGAGCATGGCATAACACCGATATTTCTTACGAATGTGAAGCACGAGTGAAAGACATTCCGTATGCTTTGCCATAAGTACAAAGGAACAACACAGGAAAACGTTACTGCGATTTTGAACGGAACACTCAAAACAGTTTCTACCATGATTTGGTACACTATTTGCTTACAAAGGTATAACATCAATGAAGTATTTATGTAAATATATGTACCGTAATAAATACATCATAATGTACAAAAAGGTAACTTATTCTGCCTTCTGCGAAGAAAATCGGTGACTTCGAATGCAGTGAATGGAAAATATCGTTGTGATTGGTGAATATTAAATTCATATATATTTATCTGAAAGATGATATGCATTTATTTTGTTACATTGATAGATGTCTCATTTCCAAATATTGTAATAAACTCGAACGCACTCGTTACTCGCTTCTGCGTTCCACATCGAATGAACTTCATATATTTCAACTCTCAACATCAGCAAATATCAATCCACTAGGTGTCTAACATCTCAAATTTTTAACCATATGTATGTTGTCATCGAAAAACTGTCTTCCGTCTTCAATTCTCAAATTGCGTTTACGACACTAGCGCCATTTTAATACTTATCAATATGACGCTCAGCACTCCGCCTTAATAACACTGCGAATGGCTTTGAATCAATCGATCAAGTGAATAAGATTGTAGGAATGTTGTACCATCAAAATTAAAAATCAAACCTAAAAATGAATAGAACGATACACGGAACATACCTATATGACAATTCAGAAAATATCGCCCTATCAATATTTAAATATACAAGTATGAACACTAATACTTTCGTACAAAAAAACAAACAAATTCTGTGTTTTTCTTCTAAACGACGACTAGCGGAGCGAGATCGACCTTAATATCAACCGCTCCATCATCTCAACATAACGTACATGGAAAGTAGATTCCTAAATGCCGCCCATCAATGAGTGTAGTATTTTATCACATGTATTGCATATACATGTACAATGTACGTATTTATCACGATGTTTTGTAGCTGGTGTGATGTATGGCTATGTAGAAGGAGTTTTGGGGTGCGATAGGGAGAGCTTGTAAGGGGTAGAACTTATAGAATCGTCGCCTACCTTGAGCGTTTGACAAATAATTTCCAAAAAATGGAATAAAGTATTAATAAAAGATAAACATGTCAGACGATGTCATTGGTATTACTTGAAGGGTTACTTACCTCCCGAGATCCGAGGTTACTGATAGAACAGGGAAGTGTGGCTGTCTCTCCCACATAAGCCGTTACGTTGAGCGGAGTAGGGTTAAACACAGGTGGAAGTGTCGTCATGTCAACCATTTGTATTACTGTGGAATAGAAATAAAAAGGTCAAGTTATACTTCCGGGATTTACAAAATGTCATGTTGCAACGCTTAGCGTCATAAATAACAACGCGTAATGTAATTACTATCACATCAAACGCTGCGACTGAAATCCACAGTATAAGACAGAGGAAGGGTTTTCACAGTTAGCGTTGCATTTGCAATGTTTAGTGTAATAAAAACAAGTTTAAAACATTAAGCGAAGCAGTCGCTACGCTAAATATGATAATTTATTACATTCAGTGTTTTTATTACACTACATGTTTAGTTATTGGACGTTTGAACTACATAGTTTTATCGTTACAAGGTTTAAAATGTCATTATTCGTGCATAATGTAGCAGTGCAATGCAAATTACATATAATGTAGTTTCTGTTCTATGAGAATGTCAGCAAGCACCACCGACAGTACTGACGACAGTTGGTAATGCACGACTATAATCTAATGTATATACACAAGCCATTCACAGCTGCTTACAATAGCCATCAGAACCAATCAACAGACTGACGTATAGCGTGAATACACCAAGGTCCCATGAACAAGCACGTGTCCTTGGTAAGACGAAGTAATGGATACTATGACAATGCATTGTAATATTACAATGCAGAAATAGCTGCATCTAGTACAGTAGTACCAAACGTCTTTCACTTAAGTCTACATTATGTTCTTCAATTTTAATCTTGAAAATATGTGAGGAACCCGAGTATTTTGTCTCTCATTCAGCTTTGCATATTTGTTTGATGTAATAATTAAAACAAAAGTAATCAAGATTTGGTCTCAATATACGTTTTAACAAGTGAAGGTAGACACAGCAGATTTAAGGACTTCCCACCCTTCGTAATAATACACATATTTTTCTTGTCTTATTTTCGTGTCGTCATTTCCGTATTGCGTATCGGGCATTCCAGTACCGTAGTGTAAATTATAGTAACACCGGGTCAACAATAGTACCCGTGCGTGACGATGATATGTCAACATCCGAAATCGAGACTTAACTTGGAAATGTGTAATCACACGTACTTCAGAAATAAAGCTTATGAGACAAAGACATTAATTAACTCACGGGAAAACACTGGCATACGATCAGACGACTTCGAGAAGGTCGTATATGAGGCGCATGGAATGCAGACTTATGTGTTTTGTTTACCGACCTCGCCTGTACGTATCCTGTGCTAACAGTAGTTCACAAGCTCTTGGTCGCTACGACTGTTGTTGTCGAGCGAGTTACGCTCTGTCAGATAAATCGGGTCACAAATGCAATTACAATAACTCTGTGAAAACAGTGGTTTGTAAAATATCAAGATCCCTATAAAATGCAACAAGTGCATGTGCGTGCACGTAATAACGGCATACCATACGATAGCCTATTGTTACATATGTACCCGACATGTTAATATACCATTCGTAAGCGGGCTATGGAATGATGTCCAAAGTGTACATGATTGAGATTAATTGATAATTAAATATGGTAATTTAATATATTTCCGTCGTTTTTTGTATAGTAAAGAAAATAAGTGTCATTGTATAAATCTATCCCTCTGCAAAAAGTTCCGATTTTCTTCAAGGTAAACAACACTCATCAGGATCAAAATTATTGTAAAATGTAAAATAAATTAATTATAAAAACTTTGTGTGTATTTGGTCCAAATTTTTCACTCTTTTTGTATGTAACAATGTGTCCTGTTTGCTTTTAGCTTGTATTTAGTAACTTTTATCCATACAATTTCAATGAAAAAACGCTTTTTGTAACATGATACAGATATTTTATGATGCATAAAATATTTGTAGGGTTGATAAGCAATGTTTCTTTTCATAATTTTATTGTTGTAATATTTTTTAACAATGCCACACGCTCAAAAAATGTGAAAGTGTTGAATTCGACATAAAATCAATTTTTCGGTATTTTTTACCAAAAAAACCCTAGTCTATTGAAATGCTTAGATTTTCATAAAATCATCTCCACATAGTGACATAACCATTATGTGAAACTTTCATTGAATTCTGCTGGCTAATTGCGAAAGGGTGGAGCCTCCTTAACGTGAATCAAATGCATTCATTGATGGACAGGTACAAAATCTTCTGCACGTGTGTTTCCTTTGATAGACGACACATGTAATCATTTAAATGACATTATTATAGAGGATACGTACATATGTAGCAGTATTACTGACTATAATACACTTATATATGTTTTAAGAGGTTATCGTTTTAACATGGCCTGATCATAGCTGTCCCGTACCAAGGCCCCCTGTGCATGTCATGGAGAAAATAAACACATAGTGAACTTGCATGTCAGACTGACCATTTAAACGTTAATACTCAGTCGATATACATGTTGTATATTGCAAGTTCATGCAGACAACCGGCCTTATATGCTTTGAAGTTCATGCAGACAACCTGTCTCATAATTTTGTTTTATTGCCAAATACGTGGCTGTTACTTTCCAGTGTTTTGCATTCTAAATGTACGAAGGAACGTAAAAAACGAGATTTAAGCAAAAAACAGTAATTTGTTATTGGCGCTAAAAACTTTGGTTAGATATATAGGTCAGCGCATTTACTTGACCTTTGACCTGATATTGTTTCTCTCTTCCCCACCGTAAACCGTCTGAATGATTGGATGCTAACCAAACTTGACTATTATTTGTCCTATTTGTATACACACACAACCACAACGTTGTTTTTTAAGGCGCTATAACTGTTTTATGTTCTATACTCTTATGATGTACATGTAGTTTATTATCAAGAGATCAAATCAGTCGCCCACACTGTATACACATGTATACAGTGAAGTAGAAGTAAAGCTATTCTTTATCATTATTTCAACAAGGTGCTTCATTTAATCATTGAGCTGCTTTCAGTTGGCATCCATATTGCCAATAAATGCCAATTGAAAGCAGTTCAATACTTATATTTACTACTTTTGGAATCTGTTCATCTCATAGAAAGTGAAATTACATTTATTATTCAGCATTTAGTTCAAATAATGTATCTATCGTGTATGCTTGTTTAACGAATAGAACAGCCATCGCCAGGGCAGGGTCAGTTGTATCCAACGTAATAATTATGACGTCATAATAATGATGACATCAACAATCGGTCAATGGCATCCATATCCTATATGAATGCCAACTGATTTTGGTAGGGTTCTATAGTGGCAATGCCATCCGATGGTAAATATACATGTAGTACGATGGTACAACTTTAAGACAGTGACGACGGTTCTGCATTTCAATGGGAACAACTTCAAAATTATACTGACATTGTATCCTTATGTGTATCGATGTGTTTCTATTTGTGCATTTGTATTGCCTTTTTAATTCAAAACAATTACAATTCAAAATGACAGAACACCATTTTGTTTACCATCGAAATGGCTAACGACACTCGACATTGAGAACATGCTATTCAGAATGCTAGTCTCATGCATTTACAAGGTTGTCAGCAGGAGTCTAACACGGCTCAGATGTTGTATAACACGGCTCAGATGTTGTATAACACGGCTCAGATGTTGTATAACACGGCTCAGATGTTGTATAACACGGCTCAGATGTTGTATAACACGGCTCAGATGTTGTATAACACGGCTCAGATGTTGTATAACACGGCTCAGATGTTGTATAACACGGCTCAGATGTTGTATAACACGGCTCAGATGTTGTATAACACGGCTCAGATGTTGTATAACACGGCTCAGATGTTGTATATCACGGCTCAGATGTTGTATAACACGGCTCAGATGTTGTATTATACGTCTCAGATGTTGTATAACACGGCACAGATGTTGTATAACACGGCTCAGATTTGTATAACACGGCACAGATGTTGTATAATAGTCTCAGATGTTGTATAACACGGCACAGATGTTATATAACACGGCACAGATGTTGTATACCACGGCTCAGATTTGTATAACACGGCACAGATGTTGTATAATACGTCTCAGATGTTGTATTATACGTCTCAGATGTTGTATAACACGGCACAGATGTTGTATAACACGGTATACGCGATGATTTGGTCAGCCGGCAATCTTTTCGTTGACGAAATTTTTTATGGAAATATGTAGGACTGTATTTTGGATAAAATATATTCTAACAGTATTGACTTAGTTTCTGGTTGACATAGACGCTAGTCTTACAAAGCTATTTTTGTACTGAAAGAAATACCGTATGAGATAGGCAATGCAACTGCAAACAGGGGAAGTTCAAACAAATGACGTTTAAACACTTTCCTTTTTATAAAAAAAACAATGGAAAATATCCATACGGTTAACATCACGTTAATTTTTGTCTGGTACGAGATTTCTACTTCACATTTAGTGTAGAACTGGTTCAGTCCTTATTCCCTGGTGTCGTTAGTTTTTAAACAAACGAACCTATCAAAACTTATTACAGCAGTTCTTGGCCTAGATACTCTAAAATACAAACTGTTATAGCATTACCAAACATGGGGAAACTTTATACTCATTGCTTACTGTTTTAGCGTCTCAGTACCGAATATAATTTAGAGTTGTGGGATCATACATTTGTGAGTTTATGAGTAAAACATACTTAACCGTTGAAGTCAAACCTGGATTAGAATACTACACTGTACGTGTACCGATACTAATATCGTAAGCTAGTACGTGTCAACAAAGAACACCGCTAATGAAATCATAAATCACGGTCATTGTTTCCTGTCTTAAATATAACACGTGATCAGCTCCCTATTGATGTCTGAGGACAGCGTACACACACATCTTACAAGCTTAAAACTGTGTGGAAGAGTACGTGAATGATAGTCTATTATGTGAGGACATTCTGGAAATTTGGAACTATTGGTGTATTTTTTTTTCTAATACTACTGTTTTACATCTCTAAAAATCAAGAAACGCCTTTTACAAGAGCTAGTAGGGGGTTCTCGATTGATAAGGAATGATGGTAAAACTGCACGAGGACGTCCTTGCACGAGCGCCCAGCGCTGAGTGGAAGTTGCATTTATACTT